TTCTGTTATGCAAATATTGACCCTTAATTTTCCAATCTTTCTCACTTCGTTATCTTTTGTTCTTCCCCCTCATTTGGGTCTATAATCACGTGAATCACAACTCCAGCTTTATTTAGTATTTCTTCCAACGTTGCAAGATTTGGCTACATTGCGCCAAATGTGGCTACTTTTTTTGTTTGACGTAGAAATTATCATTTGGTGCATTGGCTACTTCTTGGGTTACATTTTATTTATAAATATACTGTATTAGTTGAATGAAAATGCACTTTAAAATGGTGTTTCATCGCTTTTTATTAATTAGAGACCCAAATAAAACAAATATTTGTGTTTTTCAAATAAATTTCCGTTTGTCTCTTTTATAATAAATGAATTTATCCATTTCTAAGTAAAAATTGAAAGTGTCTGTAGAAGTAATTTTTTAAAATACCCTTTTTCGTGATAAAGGTTTAATACTTATTATTACAATCTAGACAAGTTAATCCTTAAATATACTTCTATATTGGGCCACAAGTATATATTATATGTACTTGTGGCCCAAAACTCCTTGACTTCTTCCAATGCAGCCCAGAGAAACAAAAAGGTTGGACACCCTGATCTAGAGCATTAGATATTCCAGTTTTTTTGAATGATTTAATAATGATCTTCGTTTTAATACCTTCCCAAGTACGCAGCACACAATTGCACACTTGTGCAATGCTGGCTTGTTTTATTCTCCCTGTTGGTGTTAAACTTTTATTTGTAGCAGTCACCATCCACTTGTTCCATTCATCACAAATTGCTTGCTTGAATGGCTTATTTATTGACACATCTAAAGGTTGCAGCTGTGATGTAAGCCCTCCTGGAATTACAGCTCAAATTATTTTACTTTTCTTCAATATGTGGTCCCTTGTAAAATCCCTCTATTCTAATGTTGTTTCTAGGTGAAGCTAGAAAGTACTTTCTGAATAAAGGTGGTATTGTATTAGTCTAAAATTGCCATCCATCTATTGTCTAGCACCTAGGAGTCATGAGCGTTAATTATTCTAAGTTTGCCGAGTACAAGTTATTTTATAAAATTGCTCTATTATATTCTATATTCATATACTTTTAAATAATATACTAAAAATTTAATTCTTACATTTTTTCAAGATTTAAAGTTTACATTTCTCCTTTATTACTCCATTGTTTTCATAATGGTTATCCTTTAGTTTTTTTTTATTTTGTGATTCAGAAAAACAAAAATTAATAGAGAGAGAGAGAGACTTAATTGAAAATCTTGATTTTAAGATGAGAAATATTTGTATTGATTTTTAAGATGATCATTACGTAATTACCTTATAAAAATATAACTAAAGTTATAAGTAAAATCAATTAAGCAAGCATCAAAATTAAAAAAGTGATCTGAATTTGAAAGATGTTTACCTGCACTAACATATACTATCAGCAAGAGAAAGGACATTTCTGAAAGTTGTTGATTAGGTTTATAGAAAAAGTGTCATCAAAACAAATATTGATGGATTCAATTTTATTCCTATTGTTTTTGTGTCACACTTCTTGATTCAGTACTTGTTTCAGTTTCTATCTTTGACAGGTTTTATGTCAATTAATAACAGAGGTATAACACACATAGCTTTATGTTCACATCTCTCAGGTTTGCCTTGAGGGGCTATTTTATGGGGAAAAAATTGATATGTCAAAATAACTCTTAATTTTTCAGTAAAAGAAACCTCTTGCAGATTTATTTTACTGTTTGTGTTCTTATGCCAGTTGTTAGCTATTGTTTGAGCTGTGTGATTGTTAAGTAGCATTATCAAAAACACTGGTAAGAAGCTTTATGCATTTTATTTTTAGTTAATTATTTTTTTATAGTTTTCTACAAAGAAAAATAAAATCTCTGACAGAGAAAACATGTTTAGCTAAAACTTTTTATTAGCCTTTTCCCGTATATTCAGTCTGTTGTACAGTTAGAAAAGGCATTTTATCAAGATTTTGGACTGTGTATTGTTAAAGTGTTTATCTTTGAATCTTATTGTTTTATTTTTAAGAATAATTATAACTTTTAGATCAGTTGGTTTTTAAAAAAATATATATTTTATAATTTTATTTAGGATCCTGATAGACCATGGTCTGATCATCAGTGGGCATTGTGTGTTTTTGATGATGTTATAGAACATGGTGGACCAGTAAGTTTTATATTTTAATTATTATTAATTTTTTAATTCTAGTACAATTAAATCAAACTTCTCTTATTATAGGCATGTAGCAAATATCAAGAGTATTTCTTACATTTAATGATGGATTCACTTGGAGACTCAAGCCCTGAAGTAAGACAAGCTGCAGCATATGGAATAGGAGTTTTANGGTGAAAGAATTTTTGAAATCGGATGAGTAGTTTCGGAGATTACCCGCTACATCCAAACTTACAAACATTACCTCTTTATAATATTAGTATAGATTTATTTTAGATAAACTATTTTAAAAGAGAGACACTAAAGAATAACCAAATAAATATTAATTTACTTTTCTTCAATGTCTTTATTATCACAATAAATACATTGAAGAGAAGTAATTTAGTTATTATTTGGTTTTAGATAATTACTTAACAACTGACTGAGGTTTTTTAAAAAGTTTTTTAAGTTATATCTTATTATTTTTTAGTGATTTAATAGAATCTTTATATTTGATAAAAGCTAAGACTTCAAACATGCAGATACATGAAAAAACAAACATATGACTGGTGTAATGCTTCTATAAAAGAAATTTTATTAAAAATTAATGTTTCTTGCTTTATTAGTTACAATATGACTGTATAAGCTGAATTCATGATATCAGAATATAATAAAATCAGCTTTACATTAATCTATGTTGCTGTAAAAAAACGATGCTTCTATTAGTTTTTTATGTAAAAGATATAAATTAATTAGAAGTTTCTTATAAATGAGTCAAAGTTGTTTCTTTGGATCTATAACATTATATATTTTATATACAATTAATAATCTCTAATTAAAAATATTAAAACTGTTTAAAAATCTTTCATTAGAACACAAAAAATTTGTAAAGTGTACATGATTTGATTATCAAAGGCATAATATATGACTTTGATAATAATGTACAGGCTTTGTTCTACAGATAACATTTATATATTTTTTGACATGAAAATACAATTATTTTTGAAGAAGATATTGATTCCATTTTTTTTTTCAATTTTAATGGTAATGTTTCATTAGCTATGATTCTTAAAAATAATAGAAAATAAATTTTATTTGTTGTTTTTTTTATTTAAGACAACTTAAAATAATTAATTTCATGAATAAAAACATATTCATTATAAATATTACTAGATAATGATTTATCTTTTCAGTTTTTTTCAAGACTTCTTGCATACTTTAGAATTATTTATATAAACATAAATGTTATAAACAGAATATTTTTTATGTTATCACTAAAAATTATCATTTGAAAAAAAAATTTAAGGTTGTAGTATTTCATATGACTATCATATACAAGATAACTGTTATATTTTAATTTATTTATATAGTGTTTTAAATAAAACAAGTGATAAAAATTTTATTAGTATTTACTTTTAATTAATATATTTACTTTCTTATAAAGAAGTAAATATTTAATGAATATATACAAAATGGTTCTTATGTTTTTATTGCTTCAAAACAATCAGTTCATAATAATTTTATTTTCAAAATTATCGAAAAATTTATATACAAGTTTCTAATACTACTCTCAGTTACATTAATAATAATTATAAAAATTTAATTCTTTTGTTTAATTTCATTTATATGTAATTACATTTTATTTATTTAGGATGATGAAGATGTTTATTTATTAAGCAAAGTTGCAGATATTTTACATGCTTTGTTTGCAAGTTATAAGCAAGATTTTTTCCCTTATTTTGATCATTTGCTACCACATTTTATTAGACTTGCAGTAAGTATTAATTATATTATCTACCTTACTGATAAATAATTTTTGAAAATGCTGAATTGTCTATTGTGACTTTTGAAACTTGTTAAACTAGATACTCTTTTACAATTTGGTGATTATTATAGTATTTCAAAAGGAGCAAAAAAACAAAAAAAAATTTAATTCAGTTCATCAGGTAGAAGATAATCCATATTACCATATTTTGACGAGTAAAGTCACTGTCAAGTATAAGACGCACCTCTATTTTGAGACAAAAAATTTAGAAAAAACTTTTTTAATGGGATTGTTTAAAGATGCATTTTATTAATCATATTGGCCAAGAAATTCTTCAACTGAATCACTGCTATCTACTGGTAAATTACACCCATTAGGAAACATATCTATGACGTCATTAATGACTGATTCATCATCCTTTACTTCTTGAATTCCCGAAGTATTGACTGAATCATCATCATCAGAATCTTCATAAATTGCCTCATCTTCTGTACCATCTAGAGCAGGGGTGTCCAACCCGCGGGCTGCATGCGGCCCAAGGCAAGTTTCAATGCGGCCCAATAAACGTGTAAACAAAACCAACAAATGTTTTAATTTTTTTATTATTTATTTATTTCAATAGCATAATCTCAAAAAAAAAAGTTTCACAAAGTCGTAAACCTTTATTCATATTTTATTCTTGAGTGGAAAAGAAATATTTTCAAATACTTGGAGATGTGTGAATGAGGAAGGATTACTAAATAAAGCTAGAGTTGTGACTCAAAGAATTATAGACCCAAATTTGGGAAAAGGACAAAGGTAAGAAAAGACAAAATATAAAAAGTAGTCAGAAAAATTAAATAGATCTTCTGTGATGCAAAGATTGACCCTTAATTTTCCACTTCTTTATCTTTTCTCCTTTCTCTCCTTTCCATGCATTTGGGTCTATAATCCTTTGAGTCACAACTCCAGCTTTATTTAGTAATAGTATTTATTCCAACGTTGCAAGATTTGGCTACATTGCGCCAAATGTGGCTACTTTTTTTGTTTGACATAGAAATTATCATTTGGTGCATTGGCTACTTCTTGGGTTACATTTTATTTATAAATATACTGTATTAGTTGAATGAAAATGCACTTTAAAATGGTGTTTCATCGCTTTTTATTAATTAGAGACCCAAATAAAACAAATATTTGTGTTTTTCAAATAAATTTCCGTTTGTCTCTTTTATAATAAATGAATTTATCCATTTCTAAGTAAAAATTGAAAGTGTCTGTAGAAGTAATTTTTTAAAATACCCTTTTTCGTGATAAAGGTTTAATACTTATTATTACAATCTAGACAAGTTAATCCTTAAATATACTTCTATATTGGGCCACAAGTATATATTATATGTACTTGTGGCCCAAAACTCCTTGACTTCTTCCAATGCGGCCCAGAGAAACAAAAAGGTTGGACACCCTGATCTAGAGCATTAGATATTCCAGTTTTTTTGAATGATTTAATAATGATCTTCGTTTTAATACCTTCCCAAGTACGCAGCACACAATTGCACACTTGTGCAATGCTGGCTTGTTTTATTCTCCCTGTTGGTGTTAAACTTTTATTTGTAGCAGTCACCATCCACTTGTTCCATTCATCACAAATTGCTTGCTTGAATGGCTTATTTATTGACACATCTAAAGGTTGCAGCTGTGATGTAAGCCCTCCTGGAATTACAGCTCAAATTATTTTACTTTTCTTCAATATGTGGTCCCTTGTAAAATCCCTCTATTCTAATGTTGTTTCTAGGTGAAGCTAGAAAGTACTTTCTGAATAAAGGTGGTATTGTATTAGTCTAAAATTGCCATCCATCTATTGTCTAGCACCTAGGAGTCATGAGCGTTAATTATTCTAAGTTTGCCGAGTACAAGTTATTTTATAAAATTGCTCTATTATATTCTATATTCATATACTTTTAAATAATATACTAAAAATTTAATTCTTACATTTTTTCAAGATTTAAAGTTTACATTTCTCCTTTATTACTCCATTGTTTTCATAATGGTTATCCTTTAGTTTTTTTTTTATTTTGTGATTCAGAAAAACAAAAATTAATAGAGAGAGAGAGAGACTTAATTGAAAATCTTGATTTTAAGATGAGAAATATTTGTATTGATTTTTAAGATGATCATTACGTAATTACCTTATAAAAATATAACTAAAGTTATAAGTAAAATCAATTAAGCAAGCATCAAAATTAAAAAAGTGATCTGAATTTGAAAGATGTTTACCTGCACTAACATATACTATCAGCAAGAGAAAGGACATTTCTGAAAGTTGTTGATTAGGTTTATAGAAAAAGTGTCATCAAAACAAATATTGATGGATTCAATTTTATTCCTATTGTTTTTGTGTCACACTTCTTGATTCAGTACTTGTTTCAGTTTCTATCTTTGACAGGTTTTATGTCAATTAATAACAGAGGTATAACACACATAGCTTTATGTTCACATCTCTCAGGTTTGCCTTGAGGGGCTATTTTATGGGGAAAAAATTGATATGTCAAAATAACTCTTAATTTTTCAGTAAAAGAAACCTCTTGCAGATTTATTTTACTGTTTGTGTTCTTATGCCAGTTGTTAGCTATTGTTTGAGCTGTGTGATTGTTAAGTAGCATTATCAAAAACACTGGTAAGAAGCTTTATGCATTTTATTTTTAGTTAATTATTTTTTTATAGTTTTCTACAAAGAAAAATAAAATCTCTGACAGAGAAAACATGTTTAGCTAAAACTTTTTATTAGCCTTTTCCCGTATATTCAGTCTGTTGTACAGTTAGAAAAGGCATTTTATCAAGATTTTGGACTGTGTATTGTTAAAGTGTTTATCTTTGAATCTTATTGTTTTATTTTTAAGAATAATTATAACTTTTAGATCAGTTGGTTTTTAAAAAAATATATATTTTATAATTTTATTTAGGATCCTGATAGACCATGGTCTGATCATCAGTGGGCATTGTGTGTTTTTGATGATGTTATAGAACATGGTGGACCAGTAAGTTTTATATTTTAATTATTATTAATTTTTTAATTCTAGTACAATTAAATCAAACTTCTCTTATTATAGGCATGTAGCAAATATCAAGAGTATTTCTTACATTTAATGATGGATTCACTTGGAGACTCAAGCCCTGAAGTAAGACAAGCTGCAGCATATGGAATAGGAGTTTTAGGCCAGTTTGGTGGTGAAGGATTTGCCAAAGCTTGTGCAGGTTGGTTATAATTAAAATTATTAAGAAGTACATAATAAAACTTTTCTAAAATTTTCTTTTAATAAATAAATTTGATTTTTAGAAAGTATACCAAGATTAGCACAGATGATAAATGCTCCCGATTCTCGATCACCTGAAAACATTAATGCAACTGAAAATGCTATAGCTGCAATTACTAAAATTTTAACTTACAACAGTAGTCAAGTTGTTATTGATGAAATATTGCCACATTGGCTGAATTGGTTACCTGTGTGGGAAGATGAAGATGAAGCACCACATGTATATGGATTCCTCTGCACTTTGCTCGAACAGTTTAGTAAATTCTTTTACATAAAAAAGTTTTTATTTTAGAAAAAAGTTAACTTATATTTAGTTTAATTATGAATTTTATATAATAAATAATAATAATAATAATAATTTCTCTATTAAAGGAGTAATCCAATGTTGTTAGGACCTGAAAATTGTAATTTACCTCGAATTGTTATGGTTATGTCTGAGACCTTTGTTCATGAAGCAATCAAACTAGATTCTGATGTTGGAAAGCGTATGATAAATCTGCTTAGGCTTATACAGGTTTGTATATGAAATTTGTAATTTTTTCTGCTATTTATTATGATTATATATCAAAACCTTTTTAATAAAAAATGCCAGATTTTAAGTATTAATCTTAAAGGCTTTAGGTATTTATTTAAACTATTTTTTTTTTTAATGAATGAATGTATACAATATTTTGTCAGCAAAATTACAGCTTACAGCAAAATTACACTTATATTCTTTCAACTTCTAGATAAAAGAAAATAAAAAAACTTTAAATATTTTTTTTTGTGTCAGAAATTTTATTATTATTAATTTTTGATGATGATATTTTGAAAACATTTAAATTAATAACGTCTCAAATTCTGTGCAAAAATTGTTATTCACTGTTGAAAAAATAGTTTTCACATGAAATCTAATTCATATCAATAGTTTTCATCATTAATTGAATAACAGGATATTGAGCTGTAACATTTTATTTGGACCACCCTGTATAATTGTTTTCAAGTTTATTGCATTGAATTAAATGTAACGTATATTTATTGTACCTATTGTTATATATATATATATATATATTTTACATATTCAAGTTTATATTTATAGTAGTATATATAGTATGTATGTTTTTTTCAGAACAATGCAGAAGTATTTTCTGAATGCATCCGACACCTCACTCCTCGTCAACAAGAGGCCTTGCACAAAGTCTTAACAATGCAGTGAACAGAAAAGACTGCAAAATTTGTTCACAAAGTTCCTGCCAGTTGCCTTTCTATTAGCCATTGGGCTTTTCATAGGAAGCAGGGAGTGTGATTTGGAGGAATGTGAAACCGCCAATTTCACTCGACTCAAAATCATGTAAACCATCTGTTAAGATATAGCCTGACGGAATAAAAGATTAATTTAATATTATTTTCACAACTTTAATGTATTGTAGCATTTTATAAATAATTGAAAATTTTGTACGGAAATGTCTTACACTTATTCACTTGTTTTGATTTTTTCATTCGAATTTTACTGTATTATGCTTAAGTCAAACTAGAATATGTTTAAAATGACTTAAGCATATTTAAATATTTCGGTACAGTTTAATAATCTCATATTTGGTTTAAAATTTCATTTGGTATGAAACTATTAGTTTTAAACGTTCCGTATTATTACTAAATTTAAAAGTTATTTGACAGCTGCAATCAGAATGTATTATTTCGTTTGAATTACAAATAAAAATTCAAAATATATTTTTAAAAAATTAAAGTTATCATGTTAAATTTATTATTTGTTTTCGTGAAATCTAAAAGTTGTTTTCTCTTACTGAATTTGCAAAAAATATAAAACAGTTTTTTATTGTATAAAAATGTAATAAACTTCAAAAATACTAACGTCGCCACTTTCATAATGAAGATCTTATGAAAAAATATTTTTCGTTTTAACGTTTTTAGTAGTAAATTTTTTAATAATTAATAATAGTAAATGTTAAACGGTACAAAAAAAATCTGGATATTCAATGTAAAACGAATTTTAATTATTGTCTGTCGAGGCCACCTAAATACTACGGGTCCAGTTATCATGACTTTCATATATTCGCGAAAATATGGCGTTAAGTGATCAAGCGCTAGATTTACTGCATTCTTGCATTATTTCACTTTTCCGGTTGTTATAAGACAGTTAATCGTGTCAAATTTGACTCTGAGTTTTTTTCAAATTTCGACATTTTGAGCCCCTAAACCCCAAAAAAGAGAAATAAAAATGTTATACGGGAGATGTTAGCATCTATTTTATTTATCTCAGGAAGGAGTAAAGATTAAGAAACGATAACCTGTATATAAAAGACATTGGTACTATTAAAGTTTGAGAGTACGGAACTTAGAAGTTCAGATTGAAGTGTTTAATCAGCCAGTGTACGAACTGGTGGAAATTACATAGTGATTTCCATCTGTTCACTCGAAGTGGCGGTTAGCAGGACAGCGGTTCCAAACTAATGAGAAATTAAAGGCAGGCGTGAAGGATTGGCTGAGCAACCCTTTACGCAGCGATTGCACATGCACACGTAACAGCGCTGCAATTCTAAAATGGCGGATCTCGGTGTAGCTGTTAGAATATTTTGCGAATTATTTAATTGGAAACATTTTAAGTTATTCATTTTTGTAATGTAAGTCTTTGTTTGGGAAATAAAATTAACGATTTAAATTTAATGAATGCAGTTTCTTTCTGCAACATAAAATAAATAATAAAGTATTTTAAATATACAAGTTTTGTCAAATATTTTATTTTATTAATGAGTATTTTAAATATAAAAAAAATTAACTTTGCACATTTTACCGTGGAGGCAGCCATCTTGTTGCAGAGAAAAAAAAAACAATGGCACATCAGAGGTTGAAAAAAATATTCCTCGTGTACAGGAGGAATAATTTGAAAATTACAGATGATGTTACTTTACGTTTAGCACAAACCAGAACCTACATCAAATAATCTATTTTAAAGTATTTTATTGTGCAAAAATATGCACATTTTTAGTAATGTAAGGACATTAAATTTTCATCTTAGGGGTAACAATGCGCGCTAAATTTGAAAAATTTTTTGTCCCACTCCTCCTTTCATGGCGTTTTGTGAATACCAGATATACCCTTGAAAAATTTCGCGATTTTTTTCTCTTCTCTTCAAAATAAAGATAACAATGTAACTTTTACAGGGAAAAAACTATGACTGTATTGAATAATGGTTCTATAATCGTCGAGCAAAAGATGCAAACTACATATTTTAGCATAATCTCCGGGAACCTAGTTTATACGGCTGACGTTTTTAATCCAGCGACATCAATATTCTAATTTCACCGGAAATTGGTGGAAACTGATTCCTTTACAATTTGCATTTTTCTAGTTAGATTTGCAAAACGGAACGCAGCAACTGGATATTTTTTTCGTCGTGAAATCTTTTATACTTAGAAGTTTATCAGAAAGCATATCAGCTTAGACATGCAGTTAAACGTGGCGAAATATTTTTCACAGTTATTTCTGTCGAATTGTTGGACCTATGTTTCTATTAAAGTGAGATTGACTAAAGTTTAGATGGCAACACTGTAAATTGGATGCAGTAGGGAAGTTTCGTGTGATTTTAGAATAGGAAAGGAATGTAAACGTAAAATGAATTTTCGTGAAGAATATTCTTTTTAAATTATTCCGATGGCTAAAAAGTACGAGAAAGAGAAATTAATCGGAATTGGAACGTTCGGGCAAGTTTGGTTGGTTAAAAGAAAAAATACGGATAAAAAATACGTTATGAAAGAGCTGAAATTGATTTCCATGTCGCCTCATGATAAACAGCAAGCGTTGAACGAAATAGAAATTTTATCCAAATGTAAACACGTCAATATTATTAGATACAAGGAAGCCGTAATCAATCAGGAATTTGGTCTTCTGGGGATTGTCATGGAATATGCCGAAGGAGGTAAGTGTTATTGAAGTGTATAATTATTCTACATGTTTTTATCTTATTTTACGTCATTCGTAGGGGATTTATTTACAAGAATTCAGAAGCAAAAAGGTTATAATTTTTCTGAAGAGGTAAGTAACACTAATAAGAAGTTCATTTACAATTTGATTTTGTTCTATATTCGTGTCTTTTCTAGACCATTTGCCTATGGTTTGTTCAGATTTGTTTGGCTCTTCAGTATATCCATGATCACAACATTCTACATAGAGGTAATAAACGATCTATAATAGTATATAATTATTCATTCAAGAATTTTAATTTCGTTTGATCAGATCATTAGTCACAAACATTTTCCCCTGTTCATGCTTAATATACGATTAGATAGTAATGGATATTTTCTAATTGAATGCATTTTCTTTCTTATTTGTCATGGGATTTATAATTTAAAAAAAAAATTGTTTTAAGATTTGAAGACCCAAAATATTCTTCTTACGGCAAAAGGTAGAATTAAAGTCGGCGATTTTGGAATTGCTCGAATTTTGGAGAAAAGAGCAGACATGGCCACTACTGCCATTGGAACTCCTTATTATCTCTCTCCAGAAATTTGCCAGATGAAACCGTATCCTTTTATTTCTAATATAAAAAAAGAATTAATTGACAATGTTTCTTTAATACGAGTATTTTGTATACGTTTTGTTTATATGTTGTTAACATTTAAACTCTATTAAAGATCTTAATATTTATTCATATATTTCATATGTTAGATCAAAGTGGGGAAAGCTTGTATAACCTGAAAGACATCTAATAAAGCTGCATAATATATGTCAGGTTGCACAAGTATAGCCTATAGGTTCAATGTACAGGTCTATGCTCAAAAATATAGTATTTAGAGAGTTAGAGAGAGGTCTTTATGAAAAAGAAACAGAAAGTATACTTTCATAACTCATAATTCTTTTTAGAAAAATTTACAATTGTACCATTTTAAACTAACACCAGGTCGTACTAGAAGCCATAAGACAACAGGTTCCCCACTTATACAATAGATCTTCATTAAAAGACATCTTATTTCCTCATCTATTTTTGGGATTTATGATCATAAATTCTTTAAATTTTAATGTTATGATATTGTTTACATATAATAAAAAATTTAACTAAAAATATATTAAAAGTATTCTGAGAAAGCTTTAATAATAATAATAATTTCAAAAAAAAGAAAATTTATTTTTCTTAATGATTTCAGATATAATTATAAGACTGATATTTGGTCTCTAGGTTGTGTTTTATATGAATTATGTTGTTTAGAACATCCTTTTCAGGGTTATAACTTCCATCAATTAGTAGTATCTATTTTGAAAGGAAAATATAAGCCAATCCCAAGGTGAACTAGAAATTCAATAGCAATTCTGGAAAAAATAATAAATATTTTCTATTAATACAATTGGATATTTTAGCGGCTATAGTTGTCTGTTAAATGATCTATTAGAAGTTATGCTGAGATTAGATCCAGAAAAACGTCCATCTACTGATGAAATTCTTGCTATTCCAGCTCTTCAGACTCATGTATTTAATTATTTCTCAGAACAAGAAGACGGAATCCTTTGTCATCCATATGTACCAAAAATGGATATGGTTAATAGAAACATTTTTTAGTCATATGAAATTTTTTTCTTTTGTTAATTACAAACGAAGTTTTTCTTACAGCAATGGTTTAATCCCAGAAAATATTATGTGGAATCAAAAAAAATGGCTTTAAAGAGGAGAGCATCTGTGAGTGTTTGCAAAGGTAAGCAATTATTTATTATGTTTTATATTAGAATTCAGATATTAACAAGTTTAATGTTTTAGGAGAGAGTAAATTAGAGAATCATCTGTGTCAAGAACAGGTGAGTGAGTAAATTTCAGTTTATATTTAATTATTTTAATATATATTGAAAATGTACCGATTTTATATCAGTATGTCTAAAAATTGGAGTTTTAGATATATTTTTAAAATATTACTTAAATATTTGGTTAACTAATTATAATTTGATCCGTTATGATTAAAATAAGTAAATATTTAAGAAAAGCATACTGAGACAGATTACAATATGTATATAGTAGACTAATTAAAATGTATACAATCAGCCTGTGTTTGGAAATACAGTAGTTGGATTAATAAGAAGCTGCGAAAATGTTCATTTTCTTAAAAACAAATTGTTATAAACAATTCTTGTTTATTTGGTATAATTTCTATTATAGTGATAAATGTGTGACAATGCGCGAAGCTCCTCTATTGGTTCCGCACCACTTGACCGAAGGGTCAACACTGCATTGGTGATGTCCACGTCAGGATGACACTACTGCGTCTTTTCTGGAAGACACAGAAACCTCTATGGTCGTTAGGTTTTTGTTAGGTCACGCGAGCGGTTTCTTGCGCAGGCGATCGGTTTCAGGATGGAGGAGGTCCTGAGAGTCGAAGTGAATCACTCGAATGCCGATTTAACAACTAATAACCGTTTATTTGAAAAGAAACAAGGATTGCACGATATACGAGGGCTGTTCAAAAAGTATCGGATGTTTGGTCGGCAAAAATACATTTATTGATTTTGAGGTACAAAACCCTAATCTCCTTCAAAGTAGTCTCCTTGGTAGTATATACACTGCTTCCCAGCGTTCCTGCCATTGCTGGAAACACTGCTGGAACGCATCTTTTGGAATGGCCATCAGCCGGTCCGTCGCATTCCGCACGATGTCTTCTCTCGACTAAAATCGGGTTCCTTTTAGCGGCATTTTTAGCTTGGGAAATAGCCAAAAGTCACACAGAGCCATGTGGGGAGAGTACGGAGCGTGACGAACCACAGGAGTGTTGTGTTTGGCGACGAAAGCCCGAATCAGATGCGCAGAATGGGCGGATGCGTTATCACGATGGAGCTGGCAAGTTTTGATCGACCACAGATCCGGTCGTTTGCGTCGCACAGCATCGAAAAGACGACGAAGGATCTCCTGGTAGTACTCCTTTGCGATGGTTTGGCCTTGTGGTGCGTACTCACGATACACCACCCCACGAGAGTCGAAAAAACTGTCAACATGACCTTGATATTGCTGCGGACCTGCCGCGCTTTTTTTGGCCTCGAGGATCGTCCCCGAAAGCCTACTGAATCTTGCGAATGGTTTACGCTTGGGTATCGCCGAGGTTTTTTTGCAAAATTTGATGTAATATAGCTGCTCACGTTGTTCAGTCATTTTTCAACTTAGTGGAATCCGACGAGAGCTCGCTACATGTCCTCACTCATAGGCCGACTGCCAACGACTAACGCTTCCTGCAGGCGGGAAAAAATTCAGAGCTGTGAATGACTGTCCCCTCCACAACTGCACCGAAAGAGGCCTCCCGCGCATCATTGGTTTACGCGGAAAAAATAAAAGTCCGATACTTTTTGAACAGACCTCGTATACATCGTACTATTTCGAAATAACTGACCTACACACCGTAGGTGGTCGCGCGCGAGAGAGAGAGTTTACAGGGTGTTTGGCATAGACGTAAATACCTGAAGTTTTGGTTGATCCGCTAGGAGACGTGGTAACCTCCCTGTCCTGGGAGTAGAGGTGAAATCTAGAATTGTCCCGAGTTTCGGCGACGAAGTTAGTCTTATTAGGAGGCAATTAATAACCCGATTTTTTCAAACATTTCTCTGGACATAAATTTTCCGTTATCAAGCCGTTTCTCAAGAATCTGTTCACAGAATGATACGAAACTGTATAAAGTTTATGGCACTTTTGAGTGCATTATCAAAGCGCATTCTTGTATCCCAATCGTAACGCCGGTGAAATGCCGTATTAGTAAAAGGAATTTGTTAACGCAAGGTTCTAATGGCGTGTTGTTATTTTCGGCATGGAGCCGTAGTATTTGTCTTAATCGTCTGTTTGAAGAAAAAGGAAAATCAGTGACGTATCCAGAATTTTGAGAACATGGGTGCTACTCAAGGGAGATTCAGGGAGGACCAAGACAGGTGCTTCTGTCGTTTTTCTGAGAATGTTACTAAATTAACTTAGAATTGCTTTAATGACCTAATCTTACATATTCGAAGTCATGCGATATGCGCTATCATATTTATTTTAACGTAACAAAGCCGATTGTTTTGGTATCACGGGAGTTGTTACAGCCTCATAAGCACTTCCTCTGGAAACGCCCCCTGCACGGAATATAAATGAAGATCAAAGGGTGGGGGGTACACGAGAAAATAGGTTCGATAGTGATGTTACATAGATATACCAGAAATTCCGTTTATAGATAGCCTACGGTTTAAATGGCTGATAATTTAAAATATTATGTAAATGAAAAATAATATTTTATAATAATAATAATATAGTCATTTACGCTTGCTGTTTGGACTGATGACGGATTATGAGTCCTAAATGCATTTCCAAGACAAATAAAACCGTATAGTTTTGAACTTGATCTCTAGCTCCGTTTCATCACTTAACCTACAAGCTTATCGCACCTCGTAGGTCTGTGCACTTCAGGAAGAATAGAATCCAATTAAAAGTACCGACAGTTTCGAGTTAACGCATTTCGACTTAGCGAAGTCTTACTGTATATAGTATATACAGTACTAACATTTACAACATAGTTTATTGGTCACCATTAGGTTCCATAACACCCGATCCTTGCAACTTGTAATGAAAGTAACTACAAATATAATTATTAAGTAATTATTCATTTTATTTGACCTTTAAATAATTGTTTAATTAAATTTTTGAATGTATGTTATGTTAATAATAAAAAAGAAAATTATTTTCCAAATAGTCAATATGATGAATTTTGTTTCAATTTCAGTTGGTGATAAAATCTCCAAAGTACATCGGCGAACCATTTGAATTTTGTCCTAAGCATTCTTCCGAAATAAAAAATGAAAACTGGTCGAGAGCTACTTACGTTATCAGTAGTGATAATAGTAAATCTGTGTGTTTGAGTAGAGGTCGTTGTCCACATTCGGTGAGATGTCAGGAATGTGTGTTAGAAACTCTTTGGAGTCATCGATTGAGAAAAAATGCAAGTTGCATAGATAATCTAAGAGATTATTTAGATGCTACTTTCGGAAAGGAAGAAGTAGATAAACTAAAAGAGAAATTAATCCACAAATGGAATGACGAAACCATCTCTCTGCATTTTCTCCTCCCATCATTAAGAAAAGATCTTGTACACTATATTCCTTTACTAATTCAGTTAGTACAGTTAGAAAATTTTACAAATCCAGTATAATTTTTCTTTTTCTTATCAGTTTTTATTTATTTTGTATTAGATTTCTGATTTTAAGTACATCATAATAAAAGCTTTTTTTTTTTTTTTTTAAGAAATTTTAAGTTATTAATATAACTTATTACTATGAGTTGCATATGCAATTATCACATTGCAAATATAATTTAATTTTCTTATATAATATGTTATGTTATAAAATACGCGATTTTGTTAACCCTCTTCGAAGCTTAATACCTCCTGCGCTATTTTGTCGTACATTTCAGAAATTTTGCAGGGAGATTTGTTTATTAGGGGAATTGATGCTATTAAAGGTCAGGGATGGGGACATAATGGGGGTCGTGTGTATCTCCAGTAGGGTCGGACTTAAAGACGATTTTACTCGTTATTAGCAGTACAATTTTTTTTATAAAACCATTCTTACGCTCAAAATTAAGCCTTTTGCCATTTTATAATAGTTAAAACTACAAGAGATGCAGATTATACAATTGCGTAGGGACCCCAAGTCAACTGGCTTCTATTTTGCCAAGAAGGGAACAAAGTATACAATCATACATTAAAGTAAAAAATGCTGGAAATGGACAATATTAGTATTCAGAAAGGCCCTGAAGTGGGCAAAAGTTCAAAGGAAGGCCTTTATTGCCGCGTTTGCATTGAGGCTCAAAATTTAAAGCTCTACTGCTGTACCTACCTCCATAAATTAATGTTACTTTTTACTAAGAAACGAGCAATTATTTATTGACATCGTCACAATGCCAGGCTACAATTTTTTATTATATTTTTAATTTATTTCATTTAAAATATATGCTCTCCACCTCAAATTAGTAGTGACTTGCCCATGTACTGTACGTCATACTTTTCCTTTAACAACAGAGTCGTGNTAAATTTATTTAAAAAAACTGGCAATACAAGCCTAGGGATAGAATGGGCTCTTTTTGACATTTTCTGATCATCGAGCCATATTGTTTACACGAATTAATTATCGAGAAACATTGATATTTTTAAAAAGCACATTTGATAATTTTTTAAACATGAAAAAATGGGCGAATTTCATTCTGGAAAACTTATCATAAATCAGATTTTTCTTGAATTACACTTTGTTTTTTTTTAAATCATGTACCAAAGATGATATATCGACCACAGTTATTGACATACTGTGTATCTTTTAACCATTGCATCCAAGAAGAGTGTCCATGGCAATGAAATATAAAAAGGTTGTATCGACGATTGAGGTGAAAAACGAACGTATTGCGAAGCCGAAAACGGTAAATATGGAGTGGGTATGGCGAACATGCTTAAAACAACTGTAGTGTTTATATATCCAGTGTACCAGAGCCCCTTTAGCCGCCACTCGAAAGCATCGAGTGACGTTTCCACTTCCCAGGACGAGGACCTAGGGGTTGGATTTCGGGATGCAGTGTTGGTGTTATGTGACAGTGTCGTTTACTTTTACTGTAACGAAGCGTGATATGTAAATGATTGGATGCGACGAACAAACTAAATAATGATTCAATTGTGAATGTTACGGCGAGGGGTGTTTGTAAGGATGTGTTGTAATGAAACCGTCGAAATCGTTTAAATAACGAGATTCGTGCTTCGTCCTCAATATAGTGCAGTCGTGGACCGAAGACTTCTATGTCTTTCTATCTTTTCTCCAGTCCTCTGCGAACACCAGCGTTACATCGTCGGTCCTTTTTCTTAGATCGTCGTCTATCTTGTCCATCAATTTGTTTCCGGATTCTAAAATTCGTTCCGATTGCTGGACTAATACCTACCTGGCGCCGAGGACAGCTTATTGCTCTCCAAACTGGGTCAGATAGAGCGTGTAATTTGTGGTATACCTGGCATTATCTTGTAATAAAAAATATCGTAACTATATTAATTAAGAATTCTTGCATTCGAGCTCCCGGGTTGCACGTCAAACGAAAGCGTGCTCGCGGGCACTCGAAACTAAACAATAAATTGCGAAATAAACGCTTTTACAATACAATGATTGTTTCTGTAATAATAGCATCGAAACAATTATTAAATTTTCAAATCAACTATATGATTTATTAATTGTTTTTCATTTCAAAATTACTATATTTCTATTTAGTATTTGAATATTAGTTTGTCTTCATACAGTTTCAAATACCTTTCGGCAGCTTATATAACATAATGTTTGGTGTGGTAAGCCAGGTGAAAGGAGAGAGAAGAAAGACCGTCGATATGGTTGAGTCTGAGGAGATTAATTAATCATACCATTTATCTTGGTTCCAAGGGTCATACCATTTATCTTGGTACCTTTAAGCGGGTCATACTGTATTTCAATTTTCATATAAAATTTCAAATTATATGTCTGCAAAGTATGAGTTTATTGAACATTAACTAAATATACTTTTTCCGAAATTCGTTAAAATTTTATTTAAAAAAAGTTTATTTTTACTTTAATTCAAAAGTTTATTTTTACTTTAAATAAATTCTTGCTGTATTAATTAAGATAATTAAAGGGGCAGGATTAACTATATACAGGGTTCCTACTAAAATTTTTGTTTTAAATTCCATGACTTTGTACAAATTCTCAGACATTGACAAAATAAAACAGCATACGACTTACTATGCAAATATGCTATTGCTTCTTTGACCTTTTAGTCAGTTATTTTTTCTAATTAACAGTTACATAATTTATATAATTAAAATTAAAAATAAAATGTTTTATTAAATTAATCAATGTGGCTTTGAAAAAAAAAATAAAAAGCCATTATTAATTGATCCATGTACAAAAATATATACAGTATTTATTGAATTTTCTGAACTTTATAAAATATTAATAAAGATCAGAAATTGTTTTTATAACAAAATACATAACAGATGGAGCCACACAAGATTCTATTTATTATATCGTAGTTAAAAACAAAACAGCCGAGAAAGTCGCGCCGGGTTTTCTGACTACAAAAAGAAAAAAAAAATTCGAGCATTAGGCTCATCACTTTTCTCCATATCCGATTCCTTGGTGTAGAATACATACACGATATTTTCTTTGGGCAAGTAAATTCATAAAATTCGCTTATTTAATATATGTCACTTTAACGTTTACGTAACTAAACTATAACACGCATTATTCATATAACCAACGTCGGATGATGTCAGGTAACCGCTTTTAAAATGGCGTCGGATAAACGAAATATTACAAAATTTAGTAAAAATTGCGCTGTCGGTCAATCGGCGAATACTGGACGAACGTTCGATTATAGAAAATCTTGCTTCTAACCCCTTCTGGAGAATGGGAACGGAAGGCGGAAGGTGGTAGGGAGTCTCTCGATCCCAATCCGTCGTCATTCGAGGGATAGAAATGTAAAAAATGCAGATATTTAGCCTTAAAATTCAAAAAGAATCCATTACGTCAATCGCATTCGAATTCGTTACGCGCTTTCTAATCTCCATAGAAACGGCAACAATTGCTGTTTCTATTGTTGCAACGCGATTTTGTGTCACTTTCAGGGCGTCGGAGTCGGAGTCGGAGTCGTGGAGTTTTGATGTTTTAGCCGGAGTCGGAGTCGTCAAAAAATCCTCCGACTCCTTTTTACTTGCCAACTTGTTATGTATATAAAACGGAAAAGTATTGGAATCGTGTCAAATTTGACCCTCCAAAGTTTTTTTTTTTTTTGCAAATCTACACGTTTGGAGACCTCCTGAACCCCTCAAAAAAGTCAGTAAAGGGGGAAAATTCGCGCGCGCGTGTGCTGGCGTCTAATTTGTTTAATTTCATTCTGAGATATTGTTTAATATCTCAGAACGGGTAAGTTTAAGAAACGAAACGTGGCACTGTAGCTTGCATATAAAAGGGCATTAATACTATTAAATTTTGGTTCTTAATTAAAGGTCGGCAGGGTGAAGACATAAAAGTGGTCATGTGTNATTAAGATAATTAAAGGGGCAGGATTAACTATATACAGGGTTCCTACTAAAATTTTTGTTTTAAATTCCATGACTTTGTACAAATTCTCAGACATTGACAAAATAAAACAGCATACGACTTACTATGCAAATATGCTATTGCTTCTTTGACCTTTTAGTCAGTTATTTTTTCTAATTAACAGTTACATAATTTATATAATTAAAATTAAAAATAAAATGTTTTATTAAATTAATCAATGTGGCTTTGAAAAAAAAAATAAAAAGCCATTATTAATTGATCCATGTACAAAAATATATACAGTATTTATTGAATTTTCTGAACTTTATAAAATATTAATAAAGATCAGAAATTGTTTTTATAACAAAATACATAACAGATGGAGCCACACAAGATTCTATTTATTATATCGTAGTTAAAAACAAAACAGCCGAGAAAGTCGCGCCGGGTTTTCTGACTACAAAAAGAAAAAAAAAAAAATTCGAGCATTAGGCTCATCACTTTTCTCCATATCCGATTCCTTGGTGTAGAATACATACACGATATTTTCTTTGGGCAAGTAAATTCATAAAATTCGCTTATTTAATATATGTCACTTTAATTAACGTTTACGTAACTAAACTATAACACGCATTATTCATATAACCAACGTCGGATGATGTCAGGTAACCGCTTTTAAAATGGCGTCGGATAAACGAAATATTACAAAATTTAGTAAAAATTGCGCTGTCGGTCAATCGGCGAATACTGGACGAACGTTCGATTATAGAAAATCTTGCTTCTAACCCCTTCTGGAGAATGGGAACGGAAGGCGGAAGGTGGTAGGGAGTCTCTCGATCCCAATCCGTCGTCATTCGAGGGATAGAAATGTAAAAAATGCAGATATTTAGCCTTAAAATTCAAAAAGAATCCATTACGTCAATCGCATTCGAATTCGTTACGCGCTTTCTAATCTCCATAGAAACGGCAACAATTGCCGNTTTATAGTCATAAACAAAGTTTAAACGGTACGATTTGTGATTTATCGGTACACTACTTATGTGTTCTGTTCATAATTATAAATTATAAATACTTTATTCGTGATTTCGATTAGTTAAAAATGAAAATAAGTTAAATTTTTAGATTACTTACTTACAAAGGATTTTTTTCATACGCAACGTCAACC